ATATATATATATATATACATATATATTTGGATATGAAAAATATACGTTTTTCCTTTTGGCATTACGTATGTTTTCCTTACGCATGTGTACATATACATGTGAAAAAGTGCGTGTGCGTTGTTTTACATGTATACTGTTTCAGCAGTTAACTTTCTGCTTTGGCGTATATTTCTCGTCTCTCTATGTGCCCAATATAGTATACTGTGAGAGAAATGAGATAAAAGAAATGAAAAATTAAGTAAATTCTCAAGAAAACACATTAAGATAGACATTGAAAAGCGCATTATAGCTGCAACAAGCAAAACACAGAGAAAAAAGAAAGAAAAAAGAAAGAAATTTACAGTATACTTTTGCCAATAAAAGTATTTCACACACGAGTATTTTTATCGAGAGATTGACTTTTCACAACGATTTAAACAATAATGATGACTCTGACTTCACTTTTGATAAGACTGCGTCGCATTTAAACTGTGATACAAGAAATGATAGCTGCGATTTGGAGATTTACACGATGAATTCTATATTACAATTAGCGCCTTATCGCTCTTTGCAGATATTTATAAAAATAAATACTTTGAGAGAAAAGTATTCCGTTCACTACCGTAAAATAGATATATATCGGAGCGATATAATAAATAATTATTAAAGTCAAATAAATAAATAATTTGCTTCGTTCAGCATATTCGTTTCGCAATATCTTTAACATACGATTTACAAGGCGACGGCTTGTCGTTTAAAGATTCGTAATGCCGCGCTTATTAAAAAAATATGGGCATTATTCGATTTCGAGCGTACATTTTCTCGATACTTAGCGAGAAGATCGATATATATCGTAAGAATTCGTTATTATTACTTTTTTGAATTTTAACGATTTCTCTTTTAATTTGATGTTTGTGCGAACATTGATCTATGGCCTTACGGAATGTGCACCCGATATGCAATGTATAAAACTTGACAATTTTTAAAGGGGCACGTTTAAGTTATCGACGAACATAATACGATTATAAAATATAATGAAGATACAATGGATTCGGTCAGAAATATCCAATCCAAAAACATTGTTAAATTGTTATGCTATAATAGCAAAAATCGCAAGTCTAAAAATATATGTATATATATATATTTATATATAACTCTTTCGCTGTATCAAATACAAAATGTAGGTTATTAGGACTTTAGAATAAATATCCAGTAATACTATTCTAATAATAATTCGGAGAGCCTCTAGTATCAATGCACTCACTAACTATGCATATCCAATTATGTGAGCCTTTTCTTTTTACCATAATTACCAATCTAAGACACAATTCCTTTCTCTTACAAGACAAGAATTGCACAAGATCTTATCTAACATTGGCACTTACCATCTCAAAAAGAAAAAAAAAAATTCGAGCTGTCTCGTTTCGGTGTAGACTACATAAAAGAATAAAAGAGCAAGCATGTAGCAAAACGTTCTAGAAGAGTACATTGATTTCGAACTTCGTGTCTACATATATTTATGTTTCCTATCCTTTTAACGAAAGGTATCTAAATATATTTGATACTCATTATTGTCACGTTAACAGACTTATATAAGTTACGTAAATCTTCTCTTTCCTTGTATATTTGATATGTGATTTCCATTCATGTGGAAGATATTCTTAATTATCTATTTTGACACACTTAGATCCCTTTGCGTTAAAATGACATCATCTGCTCTTTTTTATCTCAAATATTCCAATAACCTCGAGTGTGTGTATATGTGTATACGTATACATACATACATACATTATATATATATATATATTTTATATATATATATATATATACACACACACATACATACACACGCACAATATAATTATTAATATTAGTGTAATGACATATTATTGAATGTATTGTACTCTTTCATACTGAGTTTCATTTTCGTAAAACGTATCGCCACATGAAAATACGTTGATGTGTTAAAGTATTAAAATAGTAGGAGTAATTTTGAGGCGTTCACTTGTCAATTGACAATATCTGATTCGCTTTATGTATCTTTTTTTTTTATATTATTCCGCATCGAATAATATCGATTATTATGTAAATTTACAAATCAGATTCACCATATAGAGCCGTTGAGAAAGAGCGATAGTCTAATGCTCCAGGCACAGCGCTCGGTCCTTTGTATGGAGGCATTCGCTGAATGCAATATTCCGCCTGATCCGGTGGTAATTCTCGCCGCAATTCATCTGGCAAGATGTAAGGCTAAAAGACAAGAATTTACGAGTTAAACATGCAATCGCTGCATTGTCATAGAAATTCGAAGTATTCTTACCTTGTCACCAGCCAGAATACGGAAACTATCGATGACTTGTTCCGCTGTATCAGTATCAGTAGACTCACGTGTCATGAAATCGAGGAAAGCGTCAAAGTGCACATAGCCTGAATTATTAGGATCGACAATGGCCAGAATTCGTTGGAAGTCGATGTCGCCCTGTCTGTCCTTCCCAATAGAGTACCCCAGAGATACGAGGCAAGATTTAAATTCATCCGGTGCCAATCGACCTGTCCTGTTTTTGTCGAAATGATTGAAACTGCTGCGGAATTCATTCAATTGTTCCTGAGTGATTCCCTGAAATAGAAATATGTTTCCACTTGTTTTTAAGGAGGATTGTAAGCAACTTGGCAATATTATTCATATTATGATATACACTGCTAGTACTGAAAATCTATAGCATATGTATATGAACAGTAGATTTTTAGTAGTGGCAATATACATATTTACATATATCAGAACACGTATGTGAACGTAAGAAGTTTTTATGTTGATAGTTCACATGAGTTTTCTTTCTTCTTATGTTTCTTGTTTAGATAAACTTCATTTATTCAATAAATATATCTCATATAAAAAACTGCATATTATTTTGTGTTGGCGTAACTTCATCGTTTATTATTATTTCAGAATCTTCAATTTCTTCACTTGATAAATCAGCTTTCTTTTCTTCTGGCACAACTTTTTCGATGTTAATATGTTTCAATTTTTTTGCATTTGCTTTTAATTATAAAAACATCTTTTCTCTTGTATACTCATAATTACAACTAATATTTCTTGAATGACGTATAATTTTATGATTATTTAAATGATATAGAAATACCTTTGAATCTCTGGTAAGAATTTGATTTTCAACTTCGTTAACGTTGCGATTGATCGATGTTAGAAGCTGTTCCCAACCAACGCGCAGCGTTTCCATGGTATACTGAGTGTAGCGGTTCTCGAAGATCATACCTTCCTGAACCGCTTGATGAATCTTCTCCAATTCTTCAAGATGAGTCTTGTATTGATATACAGCCTGTTCGTACTCTTTCAGACGATGTAACTGATCCTCGAGAGTTCCCTAAAGTATAAATATAACTTTTAGAAATTCATATATTATATTTTTATATATAATTATATATTTTTATATATAACTAATTATATATAAAATATATAAAAAACGACAAAAATCTCTACTTAAAGTAGAGATACCTCACCTGAAGACCGAGACCAATCGCAGTTACGGCATCTAACTGACGTTCTATCCATGGTCCAACAACATTGGCTTTTTCAGCGAATTGTCGTCTAAGCAGTTCATTATCTATTTTCACAATTCAGGAAATATCTTTTAAGAGCAATAAAAATGAGAAAATGTTCATTAAATCGTAATATAAATTTATATTTGACATGAAATTTATATTAGAAAAATCAAAATTAAATAATCAATATTAGAAAGCAAGGATACTTTGTTGTTTGCGAAGTTCAGCTGCTAGGGTACCATCACGTTGAGGGACTAATTGTCTAACGTCGCTCCATTTTTTAGTAAGGTCCTAGAACAAAAGTATCGATTAATTTGAGAGTAATCTCTATATTACATCAATAATTTATTCTTCAACATACCATTGCAGTGAGAGTAGTATAAGGATTTTCTAGGCCGCCAGGAATCTGATATTGCTTGACAATGGATTCGACTTCGCGTACCAATCCCACAATTGAATTGTATTCTTTATCTGCTTCGCCTAGCGTAGCCTTGAATGCAGCGTGTGCGTCCATCAGACCTTGGATCTCTTCCATTGTATGGACGATAAACATGTCCACTAGATCTTCCCTAGTTCCATCCAACCAATTGTTGAATGGCTAAAAATCATGCGACGTCAGTCTATATAAAAAAAAGCTGACAATTTTACGAGTCAAATTTTATGTAATCAAGTGCTCACAGCAGCGCGCTTGGCAAATTCCAAATGTAAGACGTCTATCTTCTCCAATATTTTCTCGGCTTCATCAAGAGCTTGACGTCTACGTTGAGTGAGCGTACCCAAGCGATCCCATTGATCGCAAATGCGTTGGCATCTAGCGTTCACAGATGCGCTATCGTGGTACTCGAGGGTGCTATAACAATAGAATTTAAGTATTATAATGATCAAAATAATCTAAGATAGATTATTTTCAGAGTTTTGAAATTACTTAAGTTCTTGAGCAATAGCTGCGATTTGTTCTACGCGATCCTGATGAGCAGCAAGATCTGATTCGAAAGCTTCATGCTTCTTTTTCAGAGCCTTAAGTTCGTTTAATTTACACTGTCGGAAGTGTTGAGACGTAAGCATCTCTTCTTTGCCGGCGGTCCAATCCTCGTGAGCATCTGCCTTGTGCTTGAATTTTTGCGCCAAATGTTCCAATCGCTCCAGACGCATCATTTCGGACAATAACCAATCCTCGAACGTCTTTTCGGCCAACTCCAAATCTAAACATAATTTTTAAAATACTAGTATTTTATTCGAAAATATACAAAGAAACATGTACAAAAGGATTCTGATAAAACTCACTTCTCCATGCTTTATTTATGTCAGACACCATTTTTCCTTCTGTGGGCATATACGCCGGTCTGTTGCTCAGCCTCAGTTTCGTCTGAAGGGTATTGAAATTCGTTTCCAGCTTGGCTTTCTGTTCAACACGCGGCGGCTTATGTTTGCGCCGATATGTCCTGTACTCCTCTAGTTTCTTCTGACAACCGGCGAGGGAATTATCAGTCTGTCGATTCGCGAGCCATGGTAGTGTTCGTCGTATCCATTCGAGTAAATCGGAAGCCAAGCGCTCGTATTCCTCCATAAGACGTTCGTTCTCTTGATTCACCTTCAATACCTTGCAGATTCTGTTAGCCGCTGTCTCTGCCTACAATAAGAAAATATTTTTCCCTTACAAAGAATTTTCAGATTACGTTTATACATTTGAAACGTGTGCAATTTACTTCCACTGAGCAAGATGCATGCAATCGTGGATATAGCCATCTAGAAATGTAAATAAGAAACTTGAGATATAAATATTAAATGTCTTGAATTTTTTGCTGCAAGTGTTAACAATGTATTTCAATAATGCACACGCAAATATTTGACGTGTTTGTTATGGCTTGTAGGTCATAAGTTAATTCAAATTGAAAAACACACACCTTTTGAGCACCGCTAAAACAGTGGTAGTATGAAGAAACATAGGTCATCACAGCTCTCTCATCAGGCATTGCCGTATTTCGCATATCTAGAAAAACACATTCGAAGAAACTCAAACCATGCGTTGTTAGCGTAAGTTTTAACTTGCCGTTAAAAATTTAATTAATTTTAACGGTAAACAAGTCCAGCAAGAAGCGGAACACCATTAATAATTTATTATATAATTCTTATAATATCTATACATATAATAAAAATGCGACGTCCTTCGCATAAACTATGTTGGCAAAGATATACACAAAATTCGATCGTAATATAATCTTATTTAAAAAATGTTATAGAACACAATGCATAGTTTGTTTCGGTCCTGGTGAAGTAATTGAATTAAGACAACAGCAAGGTGATCAATTAGCAGGTTCAAACGTCGTTATCAGTTAGCATACAATTCGTTTAATTATAATTCGCGTTAACGAAGGATTAAACAGGTCGTTTTAACAACGAGGGTAAGGACGAGGGAGAGCAACACGCATTTTTTTACGCTGACCTGCTGGGCACCTTGGAACGCGTGGTAGTAGCAGGACACATACGTCATGATAGCTCGCTCATCCGGCTTGGGAGTGTTGATCAAATCTATATGATATCAAGGGAATATATGAACATTAAAGTGTTTATGCGTGTCATTTCGATACTAAAGAATCCAATCGTTCCATCCTATATAGCGAAAGGCAAATATATAATCTCGGCGATTCGATATAATCATCTCCTCGATCCTAATAATCAAAATGTCGAACGTGTGTTCCGTATATTTCTAAGATATCTATCGTAAGTATTTAATTTAATATTTGATTTGATACATGCCATCGGGATCTAACATGCGAGGAATGTCGAGATACTTTTCAGCGACATCGAAGGCAGTGTTCAAGTTTTCCAGGGGGTTATCTTTGCTGAGTTTATTGTAGTCGATCAAATCGGGCCGATGACGATGGATAAGAGCGCAGAACGCGAGACCATCCTTGAAGGACAAATGGAAGTTTTGAACGTTGACATTCTTGTACGGTGCCGTTTTGCGTTGGCACCAAAGTAACAGTCCTTCCTTCGCGGTCATCTCCTCTACAGAGATATCCTGGATTGCGAATCTCAAGATAATGGTCCATATCATTCCCAAAGTCATCTTTAGATTGCCGTCAACGATTTCTGTCAAAAAATTATCAATTCTTGAAGCATACAAGGTAAAAAAAATATAAATTATATTAAATATGCAATATTTTTATATTAATAAAATACAAAAGTGATGCATTAAAACACTAAAAATCTAATAAGCTTTGATTTCTATAACGTATTATTTGGCATAAAAAATATTTTTATAAAATCAATATACACAATTTAGCTACTATACTTTTTAAGCAATGATTTCGTTAAGAACTTTAAAAGGAAAAACATACCTTCCGCACCAATTGAAACTAGTTTAACGCCCTTACTAGCGATATAATCGAGGGCCTTGTTTACGTTGGCAATCTTGTGGAACCTCATTTTGCCTCTGTCGGGTCTTGGAAGAGTCTCACCTGAGATAACCTCAAGCAGTAACATCAGTTTCAACCCATTCCTGAAATCGTCTTCGATCGATTCGATGGCAGTGCCTGCTTTGCGTAGATGCGAGTTGCACCAAGCTGTGAATGTCTGAAAAGATAAAAAAAAAGGACCAATTAATCTGCGTTCAACATAAATTGGCACTGAACAAGACAAGGATTAATGTGCAATTACACAGAAATCATAACACAGAAATAATAACATGGCAATTCAAAGACAGTTTGACAGTTTGCTTACTTTTTATATAAATTCTATAAATCATGAGAAATAATCATTTAAAATGGGAGATTGAGTTTCTTTGCTATATGCTTAGTGTATATTTTAGTAGCGACCCCGATCCCTCCCGCTATATATATCTTCTGTCCTGATTCTTAAACCACGCTTTCTATCGTTCTATAATGATTTTCTGACAATCTTTTGATATCTTTCTGCAATTAACAACACATAATCTTGTTAAAAACGTTTTTGCATGTCTATGGCTTTTTAAAATATACTAAAAAGAAATCAGATACCAGAGAGAAATCTGCAACACAATTTCTAACTCTCTAAATTCTTTGGAATGGAATCTCGCTCTGAAGAATAAAAATTAAGTCTTGAAAAAGAGTGGCTCAATTTTCTATCTTTAAGAGTGAGATTTCACTCTTTACAATAAAATGCACTTTACAAGTTTTAAAGAGAAATTAAAAAGATGATTGTTTACATTGTATCAGATTAAAATCTTCGCAACTATTGCTCTATGTATCAATTTCTAACATCAGCTTCCACGATATTTATCTTTTCAACAATGACAATTTTCACAATATAAAAAATTACACATTACATCTACATAATAATACAATCGAGGAATCTGGAGAAGGTGGTGAGCGAAAGTAAATCGAGTCGAATGTGAGTTCGCGGACGATTTATTCGAAAATCGCAAAGTAAAATGTGGCATTTGATCGAGATTATAAAAAAAAAAAAAAAAAAACTCCAGGGATTGATAGTTGAGATTTTAGAGTTGGAAAAATATTGCGTGAAATTCAATACGGGCGGCGTGAAGCCCACGACGGGCCAATTTTGGACATGAGCCACCCTTCTAACGTCTCTGCACGCGTTCTAAGATCTATTTGTAAAACATCGACTCCTCCCGCGCTTGAGAAGGTATTAAAGCATTTTCGAAAGTATTTCCGAAGGCCTGTTATTTAATAATTAAATTGTGTGAACGTAATTCTCTTTACGTTATCCAACGTAATGTACGTCATCATCGATCTTTGTAGAATATATAGGAAAACAGTTACAGTAAGGGGATATGTACAATGAAGAAACAGAGACAAAGAATAAGAATTTCAACCAATCAAAAACGATGCATTACAGAATACATAGTTTCTGATAGGTTGAAATTCTTATTCTCTATTCCTGTTCCTATTTTCTGTTCTTATTCTTTCATTGCGCGCAGTCTCTTAGAATCTCCGAATACGATTTTCGCGACTTTCGCGAAGAGAAATATTCACGATTGATACAACACTTGTATAGCGTTCAGCAAATAAATAAAATATTAATATATTAAATGATATAATCAATAAATATTTTTCACTTGTCATACATCATATTTAATAATCACTCTGTGTATACATATACATACGTGTATATATATA